ACCTCCCTCCACCAAGTGAAAGATCTTACTGGTTTCTGAAATTATTGTTCAGTTTGAGAAGTCCCTCAAATTGATGCCATGTGCTTACTTATCCAAAAAGCTTAGTGTCCATGGCTGCCATTGACACAACTAGATGATTCAAAACCAAACTTTTCTTATTATTTCTTGTGCTAACTTGTTGCTACAGTAACCTTTGACTACCCCAAAATATGTACTTACAAAATCATCTGACCATTGTTCCTCTTCATTGTCTGCATGTTCTAAACCAAACATAAAATTATTTAAGGAGATGGAAGAGTGAATACAGATGTTTATCTTAGATTGTTTTTTCAATCTATACTTATCATATTCAGTTTAAAAAGAGTGGAAATAATTTCCTAAACAGTTTGAAGCAACACATCTGTCTTGCTTGTTTTTGACAAATTGTTTCAGGGCTGTTGGGAAAGGATTAGAAAATGCCAAACTGCACATGGTCCAAACAGCAGAGCATGTACTTTACCCACAGTGTCCTGCTAATGCATCTCATTTTTAAGTAGGGGTGACAATTTCTAGATAACGAAACTATTGCTGACCTCTGGGCTCTGCACTTTCTTGTTTCTTGGATAAAGCTCCAAGACAGCACACTAATTACAAATGTTGATGTTAAACATGGTACGCTTATCTGATAACTTCCAAACTCTATTCTCTTTGCTTCAGTTATCATCTTAAAAAGATGGCTGTTAACATGAACTAGTCTGTGGGCAGTGCTGTATGATAAGCAAGTACAGTTCTACCTCTAAGGTAATTCATGATGTCATTATTATATTTATAGTATTAAGATTTTGAATCTGTGATGATCCATTTTTTCTTTTTTTTCCCTACTTACTTTCACATCAGTTTCTACCAGGGAGAGACTGGATGCAAATTCTCCTCCATTTTTTACAGCAGCCTATGTACAGGCAAAGACTGCTTCTGAAAGTAGCTACTTGCTATTTTTTGCTAGCCTTTCATTTCAGAGGTGTGAACTACCTTCAGAGTTGTTCTTAATGGTACTCTGTACTCTCATTAAAAACAAATTAGGAGGCAGTGTATAACTGAAATAGTGTTAGGCATATAGATGACAAATTTACATTAATACAGCCTTACCTGTAGCATAATCCCTTTGTGGTAGACTTGGTGGTGGCTTTTTTTTAAGGCTGTAAATGATAATTATTACATTTATGATCTCATAAGTGACATTCAGTAGAAGGGAGCTTTAGCCAGACACATAAAAAAGCTGATAACAAAAGATACCTGCAGCTGAGGAAATACAGATTACCATCACAGATGCTTAGCAAACAGCTGTAGAAGAATGCTTTGAAAAGCTAGAAACAGATAAGATATTAAAATATAATCTGATACTTTAATTCTTTTTTTCACTTAGAACACAGGTTGAGAGAACAGCTTCCTTGCTCATACCTATCCTCTTCATTTCCAATGCAGAAACAGATAATGTAGGGGATAGAGATAAATGCATGTCTATTGGAAGATGAAAATCTGTTCAGGTTTTGCTAAGAGTATGGCATAAGAAAGTGGTGTAGCACTCTCCATTTGTATTTTTAGAACTATAATTTTGCATGTACTTTATTTGCTGATTAATGTCTAAATATATACCAGGTCTCTCAGTGCCAGATTCTGTTTCCACTTACTATTATTTTATGATGTTATGTCCCTTTTTTGGTAAAAACTGTTATAATGGCATTTGTAATACCAAGAGAATAAAAAAAAAAATGTAGAAAGACTGAAAGGATATTTATGGCTATACATATTCATATGTGTATGCATGTGCATATATTTAGTAAGCAGAAGTACACATATATGTAATATATATGTATACACATATATATGTGAGTATTCATATATACCTCTCCTTACTAACTTGCAGTTAGCAGTTTGGACACTTCAGTGTCCAAAGACACTGAATTACAGTCAGTTGAATTATTTCATTACCCTGCAACAAAAGAGAAGAATTTGGGCTTAAGGTCAAGATGCATGGGTGACACCAGAGGCCAGACTGATGCCTCTGAAGAGGAAAAAACTCAACCCTTTGCTTTTTGTAGTCAGATAAAACATTAACACAGTTAATGGCTTTAAAAATGACTCTTCAAAGTGACTTTTGAGCATTGTCTGACAGCTCCCCTATAGCACTGATGAGACCCCACCATGGACCTGAAGCTTTGTCCACTGAATTGATGGCTTCACTTGTTCTTCAGTCAGGTCCTAACAAATTCATTTGCAAAAATGAGCAAGTAATTTTTAAAAAAAAAAGTCTATGAAGAATTTAAAATGCTTTCTTGTGATCTCTGAGCAATAGTGATGTCTACGAATTTTGCTTTACCACAAGAATTTGTCACTCAATATTAAAGTCCTGAGCATCCTGCTCAGCTGTCATTGTTCAGATACCACTGTAACTCTGGGTGGAGGCACTAACACATCAACTGAAAAACTTTTTCTATCTGTTTTAACAAAGGCTTTGGCTACTTCTGAGTTGAATTCATGGAATTCTGTTGTTCAGATAGTCACCAAAATCACCCCATGCACATGCATGAATCAATGAATAAATGGTGCAGGCATTGCTAAAGCTCAAAAAAGCCCAACCACCCCCTACCCCAAAAAATAAAAACCAATCCAGGGAGATTATTTTTGTAATATTAACCTGCTTTGTTCATTACTAACAACACTAATCCTCCAAGATTTTAACTTCCTTCAGTATAATATAACAGTGTACAAACAGCAAATGAAAAAGCATTCTCAACAGCCCTGCTCTTGTCTTTTTCCAGGTTAGCACAGCCATGTTAGAAAGAAAAACCCAGGGCCACTGCCAGGGCACATCTTAGGTCTTAGGGAGGGCAGACCGAGATCTATTGATGTACTTTGCAACATGTCTATCATGAGTTGTTCAGAAGTGGTGGAGACTTGGAAAATACTGGAACTGAGGCAACAGTAAGAGGCTGTCTGGGTCATGGTGTAAAGTATGTGGCTTAAGCAACATTACACATTTCTAAGCTGCTAAGCAGAAGGCTTCCATACTTTGTCCCAGGCCCTGTAAATCCTGGCAGTGGCCCTGACAGAAAATGTCAATACGTTATAACGAAAGCGTATGAAGTACAGAACAGGAGTCTGTGTCTAAGCAGCCTATCGTGCTATTGTGCAGCTATGAAATGGCATACCGATCCCAAGTATCTTTCCCAGTTTTGCAAATTAAGGCCACTTGTTCATTTTGGAACCTGAATATCAATAGAAGAAAAGAAATTATGTTTCTTTCACAGAGCTGAAACAGTTCATGGCCACATCTGCATTTGCTAGAATCTCTTCAAATATGTTATTTATTCTAAAATTCAAATCCACTTAAAAAGTAATTCTCACTGTATTTATTGAATGTCAGATCTGTAATCCAGGCTCTTTTGAAGTCAGCTGGAGCTTCACTGTACAGGAGCCAGAACTTTACCAAATGTGCAAACCACAACACAAGCTCAAAAGACATAACCCTATGCCAAGGCGTGGTTACGTAGCTATTTCAGATTCTGACATCATTATCCACACAAATGCTCGCAAAATGGCAATTGACTTTGTCCTGCATCCCTGAAGTAAATGAGGAAGCACTGAAAGAACCAAATGCTATATAATTTAGCATACACATTTAAGTGTATTTAATCCTAGTACATACATTTTAACTTCAACAAATAACCAAGTAGCATTTGAGACATTTCATACAATGGGGTATAAATGCCTCTCATACAAGAACAAAATGCATGGTACAGAAATTCATAACAACCTGAAAGAGAACAAGCTATTCCATCTTAAAACAATGTATTCCAAGATTGTCCCCCTATAGCACACTAAAACATTTAGGCATGTGCTTAACTTTTCTCACATGCGGAAACTGCAAATATTAATTACATACTTTGAATTCATAGCATGTTTCTGTTTTCCTATACTAAATGGAGGATTTTTAAATAAACTGCAGGACAGGTCTGGGTGTTTTGTTCTAGCAACACTTATTTATACAGGCTACACCCAGAAAAGTAACCAAACATAGGCAGTAGTAGTCCTTTCTGCATTGAACTTAATTCTCCCACAGGTGCATTTCCCCACTAGTGTTTCTGCTCACACCTCCGGCATTTAAGATGCGCCTGAAAACTCTATGTTTTCAAAAGTCCTTCACTTTTTCTATTGTTAAATCTGTACAAAGTCCACTCCCTTCTTAGAGACCATTTAAACTTAATAGTTTTTACAAAAATTATACTGATAATCTTTACTCACTTGAATATTTATTAGTACATATTAGTTTTAAGTGCACTAGATCATCACACTTGTGATTAAAAGATAAATTAATCAAACTTTGCCAAAAACATTTTCGGAGTTCCAAAAGGTGTGATCTCGCTGACAGATAAACTTTTCCTGAACTGTGTTCTCATGACCTAGTGGAATAGTTTGTTATAGATTTGGAAGTATGTGGCAACTGTATAAGATAAAATTAATCTGAAAGCTTTTTTGGAAAGTCTTATTACTACTCTTTCATATATTTTCTTTACAATGTGCTTTGACAGTGAAATGGCATCTATCTGTGATTTATTTGTCTTCAGTTTGATGAAATATTATTACATTAATAAAATCCCAGCACTCAAAACATTCTATCCAGCTACACAGTGACTTTCATGTTTCTTCAAAATAACAGTTAAAATTAGGTATGCTATTTTTTACTGTTTTCTAAGTGTGGTACAGCTTGATTTTAGTACATTTCTCTCATTGTTTCGTTCATAAAACACTACTTTTCGCTCTGCCAAGAGTTGGATCACAGATGTTTTCTAGTGGCAGCTATGCAGGTTGAAGAGACATTTAGTAACACAATGACCATTTTTCTGCCTGAAGTTACTGCCTGAGTTATAAATTGTGTAGAAAAATGGACCAGACAAATCTGAAGTAAAGACTTACCCAACTAAATAACTGAGTAAAGCATCTTCTTTTTTTTTTTTTTTTAGGTCACACAGCAAATGTGATTTCAAGAATGTGATTTCAAGAAATGAACATATTTGGATTGTGTGTACTCAGACACACAACTGCAAGTGGATGATTTCTGATGGCATTGCGAAGGAAGTTTTGATAGGATGTGATACTGCAACAAGGTGAGTAAACTGACCTTCCAGTAGATAAGCACCTATCAAAATGAGAGCCCCCAGCTCTCATTGTTTATACAATGTTGGTGTTGGCTACACCCATTGCTTCTACACCTGAGTACATAATCCTCTTTGACAGCATGATCTGCACAGCAGCTGGGGCTCCAGTACTGTAAACAGTTTTGCAAGTGATTAAGGGCAAGCAGGTGACTGCTATCCTGCAGAGGCCAATATTTTTACTGCCAGAAAATTCTGAGACAGGATGGAGAACACACAGGAACTTTTAAATAATGAAGAAACAACCTACCAGTTTCTTTCCTGTTCCCACCACTGCTCAGGTTGCTTTCCACAGACCTTAAAGAACACATGGATGGTAGAGGAATCCCTCCACACCTGCACCCCACATGAACTAAACTGGAGAACAAGTCTTGATGTAAGAACTTTTCTTACATTTCTGCATAATCAAAAGCCAATTCAGACTTTTAAGTGTTTTAACAAATACTGGTAATAATAAGTCAAATGTATTTCATGAATCTCTGATTGCTCTTTCAATTTGAGTAGCAGAGGCTTACAGTATCCATCAGCGTGACAACTTTAGGCTTCAGATAAGCAAGTATGCTATTTGAATTCCCTAACATTATTTCTATTTATAATAGGTTTGAATTTGATGTGTTTTATTCCAGCATATAGACAAATTCTAAATCTGTGCTACATAAAACCAATTAAAAAAAAATTCTGGCTTCAGTTGCGTTTAGATCCCTAACACTTAATAAAATAATTCTGTAACTGAAATGGAAGTAGTGGTCAACTGGACAACCATGTTTATTAGAAAAAGCCTTAAAAAAATTCAACATAAAGTCCCCAAAGGGCACATTGAAAACAATACAGCCAGTTCTAATTCTGTAAAGCTTGGCACCTCTTGTACATATCCTTATCTGCATTGTCAACTCATGCTTGTATTGCAACTTGTTATGTGCTGGGTTCAAGACTTGAGTTCTGAAGTCATATGCAAATGTAAGAAATTCTTCAATTTTTAAGAAACTGAATTTCTGATCATAACTGCAGAAAAGATTAATATGACTCAGATGAAGCACAGTATCATCAGAAAGATTATTATATGCTTTTTATATCTCAATTTGTATTCTTATAGCCGGAAGAGTTGAGATGTGAGCTTTGTGCTGCAGTCATATATTAAAAGAGTTTTTATGAGCCTGCACTTTTTTATAGGGTTTTTTTACATCTTGAGTGAATCAAAGAATTGCAGTGTTATATCAGCAATCTTGTAGCTGACATTTAATGATGATACCTCTAACCTTCCCAGCTTCCACTACATTTGATTCTTGTTACTTCTCCCTTGTCTTTCCTTCCCCTCTTACTCTCTAGTAAGGACACACAGTGAGGGCAATACTGATTAAAATTCACAGTCAGGCAACTATGGGAGACAATTTGCAGCCTCAGATTATAAACTTGAGATACTTCTATTGTTTCTGCCGTCTGCTTTCTTCCCTGAAGCTTTTGAACTGGACCCACTGCAACATTATTAATTACACTTAAACTAGTACTGTGAAGTAGGAAGCCACCCTTTATTAAAAGGCAGCAACTAAAACAACAAACCCTTGTCTCTTTCAAAAACCCACCAAAATCCTTTTGACACCTACCAGCTCTTGCCTGTGATCAGGTCCTAGTTGAAACTATGAGTTTTTTTGCAGATGGGTCTCTGAACACAGTGGTCTATTTATGTACACACTGTGCTAAGAACAAAACCACACAAATTAAAATAAAGACCCAAGTAGTTGAAATAGCGTCATTTTAATGGAAACTCTCCTTTTGCACTTCGTGTGGAAATAACAAGTGCTTATACCAAGTGACTGTGATTTACTGCGAATTGCAGCAGTGTTAGAGTGAAGAAGGATGAGTAAAGGAAAAAATTATCTCAAGAATCTGTCAGGTGTTTTACCATCAGAGCCTGCTTAAAGTCTGTGGACAGAAACACAGCTGTGAAAATGAGACCACAAAGCAGGGCTTGCAGGCTAAGGTTACTCCTTCTGCCTGGGGAACAGGAGAGCCAGAAGATCACTGCTACTTCTAGAAGTGCATCCCACTCCTCTGCCAGGGACAGCAGCTGCCCCACAAACATCAGCTCTGCCTGGGCTGGCAGCAGGGGCAATAGCTCAGCCAGCCTGGCTTTCCAGAGCTCTTGCACAGCCAAACCAGGCAGAACCCTATTGCTTCTCTCAACTGCCTACTGATTGCTTTATATACAAGAAGTCTTTCTTTAACTGAGCCGCTGTGGTCACTCTTTAAGAACAATTTTAAACAATGTTTCTATGTGCCTCTTATGTACAAGAGCTGTATTTCTAGCATTTAATATGGTCATCCTGGAAACACTTCAAGTACTGTGTACTAATTAACTTTTAAAAGTACTTAGTACTTTTGTTGCCAATGACCCATGTAAAGAAAGACATCTGAATGAGAAAATCACATCCAAATGGAAGTCCTATGCAAATGAGCTATTGCATTAGGAAAAAGTGTGCTAAATAGCTAATTGGTTTAAATAGATGTTTGACTGGAAACAGTGAATAGTGTATTCATTTGACAAGGATGCAGAATTACTGGAATCTCTTTCGATGTATAAATACACATGAATATTTTATGATACTCTCATGCATGTGACATCAATACACATGCTGTACAGCACTTCTTATTGGAATAAGGATCTTAGGTAATGCTGGATTTTGTTTTATGGGAATGAAACACAGGAGGATTTAACATTTTTATGGGAATTTTAACTATGATATCAGACCAGTTGGTTCAAGGTAGAGCTCAAATTAAACTTAATTGCAGCAGGTAGCCTAAACAGTTGCCTAAGGAGAAAGGCACACATCCAAACAACAAGCAATGACCACTCCCAAGGAACACTCAAGCAAAGTCCATTTCACTCAATTTTTTTTTTCAGGGCTACAAACAAAACCTGCCATTGGAGTCCAGTTCTTCAACTTATGACAATTCTGCATGTTACAGTCTGAACTGAAGCTTTTCACATACACTGAAGTACATCCCTCTAGAATAACATGGTCCCACCACTAAAGTACTATACACTATGTTACAACATGAACTTCCCCAAATTGATAAAACGAGGGATTGACATTTCAAACTTACTTTTTGAACTTGTTTATTATCCCACTTTCATTTTTCTTGATGTCATGCACCATCTTTTGAAGCTTCCTGTAAGATATTAAACAAAGCCAGCATTAAAATTATCAAATAATTGAAAATCCATTTATATAAATTAAGAAAATATGCTTAATATGTCTTCAATAAGTAGTTTAGTTGCTAAATCACTTGTGCATAAATTTTTCCTCCCTTTTTAACAGAGCCCGTTAGCATTTTTTGTGTTATCCTTCTTAATACAATTACATGCAGTTTAAACAATCAATTTGAGTGTGTGCCATCAGGAAGAAACATCATTGTCTAAATTAATAGTTTAGAACATTTCAATGTTAACATTTTGTCCAGATCTGACTTCACAACACTGCACAGCTATAGTGGGAATGCCCTCTGATTTCTGACTCTACATGAGACACTCTATCTCATGCCCACAGTGTTTGCAGTTACAACAGCAGGGGAAAGATTATACATTCCTGGGCCCAGGCCATTTGAGAAACTATTAGAGTATTGATGACTCTGAGCTGTAAAAACTCATGATCTTAGGACTCCATTTACATGGACTAATATCTAGAATTGTAGATTGTTTTATTAATCACCTGCATTGACATCACCAAAATTTTACTTGTAATCAAGTCAATTTAAGTTGAATATTTTTCACTTGTCAAGAATCATTTAGAATCCCACCTCCCTTCTCATCTAAAAAATCCACACCACTAAAATCAAGTAAATGTCAAGAATATAGATAAAATTTTTAGCAAAAGACTGACTTAATAGTGAAACCTGTTCAGTCTGCAGATACCAGAAACTTCTATAGAATGCACATATATTTTGAGTTTCTTCTCACAGTGTGTGTTCTTCCTGTTCCTCTAAACTTAGCATTTTTTATTAGACCTGAGCTGAAGATTTTAGCACAACCAATAATGTATTGTTTTTTTTTTCCAAAAAGCACTTAAAACAAATTGACCTTCCATTCTTCATTACACGTTGTCCATGTCATTCCACATTTTAGTCTTCCCTACTTCCTCTCTGATGCACAGTCAGGCTACCAACAGACTCTTGGACGCTGAGAAGAACAAGCATCAAAGTACTCTTTCTTCTTTTTAAAGCTTTCTTTAAACTTGAAACCTTATTATTTAGAAGGTTGAGTAACATACAGAGTTTCACTAAAAAAAGGCATCTTCCAGCTTCATCACTAGTAATTAAAAACTTGCTCTTAAAAATTAAAATAGTTTTTTCAAAGGAAATTGGAATTAGATGAGAACTAGCTAATCAAAATCCGGGGGTAACTGCACTAATGTGATTATTTGTCTGCAGTCCTTGGTTTGGGCTGAGCAGACATGTAGCACTCAAGGCATCAGGTAGCAGTTGAATATTAGACTTCTGCTGGAAAGGACCTTCCTACCTCCTGATTTTAGAGCAATTGTGTTAGGTAGTGATAATTAGTCACATTTTATGAGACTTGCTTAAAAAGAACAGTTAAATAACTGAGTATTTCTAAGTTTTTAGAAGACTAAATAACAAAGCTTGATTTTATTCTTAATAATGCTTATTAACAGAACAGAAACAATGGATCTTTTCACTATATTAGCCGAATTTGAAGGATAACCCCTGTAATACCATAACATGGTATATAATGCTCTGACAAGCTAAAACATAGGTCTGATAATTAAAGGGCGTTCCTAGAGCCTAAATCTTTGCCCAAATTCACTTAAAAAGCAATTCAACCTATTCTTTCTAGATCCTCAATTCAGAAAAAAACCCAGAGAATAATGGACAAATAATTCACAAGCCTATCTTTAACTTTTGCTGAAAACTCGAACCTTTAATTTACAGCAAAATGA